TGGTGTAAAATCTGATTCCTCATACACACCACAACTTTGAGGACCATTCCTGGTTGGAAAAGTGCTTTAAAGACATTTGAAGTTAGACAATTACCAGTGCACACAAAGGATTTAAATTTTTGCGATAGGAGTATAAAAAAATCAGGATAAACCCAAAAGAGGAAAAGGACCTATAAAAACCAGAAAAACTGGTCTATTGACTTTCAACTGTTTCAAAGTGCATGTGCTGCAGCTACGGAAACAGGACATTATTGCAAGCAATTTCTGCCCATGAGTGTCCAATTTCTGCCCAGTAACAAAAACAGTATGAAAGAACACACCAGATAGGTGTGTGTTAGGAATTATTTCTTGTGTACTCAGTAAGCAGAGCTTTTGGGATGGTAAGAACACTTCAAAGCCTGGCTCTGCAGAGTTTGCTGTGCTGTCCACCACCTGGTGACTGATGTTAATGTAGTTTGTGTATATTTTATGACTAGTGTTAGTGTTACAGTAATGATGAACTTTTACACTTGTTTTTAAACTCCCTGCAATGATGAGGTTGAAAAAATGTGACTATTTGGTATAACATGAGACTGTATTTTGAGTTGGAGACTAACTAAATGTTCATTTAGGCAAAAACTACTAAAAAGAGGAGCTATTCAAAATATAAGTAGGTAATAACTCTTTTCTTCACCTGTCTGCAAATATACCTCTACCTACTTAAAAAATGAACCTTTTCATGGCGGATGTGTCTCTGTACAAATACAGCGAGGAAAGCAGAGTTCTGGTTTTCAGCTTGATCAGGAGATGAAGAGTACCTGTATTCAGATTACTAAATCACAGGTGTGGGAATACTTTTTCAATTCATCATAGACTGGGGAGATACAGAGATACGGCAGCCACCCTGCAGTCAGTGAGAGACAGTCAGCTTCCTGTAGGTACTGAATTAACTGTAGACATCTGAAACCATCAGTTGTGTCACATGTAAAACCTGTTAGTGCTGTGAGCTGCAGGGTTTCTTTGGGGTGTTAACAAGCCCAGAAGCTTGCTGCATGGGTTGTGTGAAAGCAATCGGAGAGAACCAGTAGTGAGAGAAATATTTAAGAGCAAACATGGCCCTCAGGGGAGAGAGATGCGTCAGAGAGGCAGCCCAGATCGTACACAGCCTGCTGTAATTTTACTGGCAACAGTATTAGAAAACCAGGACTGCCTAAATGTTCCCTGAAAAGACAACACTGTACCAAAGCAATGTTTCAGTCCTTACTGGTAAAAACAACTTGGCAATTCCCAGGACACAGTGAACCATGATAAACATCTCGCTGACTTTGTGCACTCTGAACCAAAGGCTGGGAGCTGAGATTTCCATTCACGGTAGTTGCCTTGTGTGAATTAAAATCAGTGTAAAATTTGCTTCAGCAAGCAGCTTTCAAGTGCGGTATTGTGCAATACAGTTTAACTCACAAATGCTGATGGATATTCGAGCTTCCAGGTGACATCTGCAGGAGGTTTGCTTACAAGTTTGTACAGGAAATTCAACCCATCATTCTGTGGTAGAAGGGAGTATTGTAATGTCCTTCCCATACTGGTGAATCTGCTGAAATCAATAAACTTCAGCAGTGGAAGAAAATACTTCTGACTCACCCCTACTCCTGCTGTGAGCCATGGTTGTGTCTGCCATTGCAACTACACACAAGGAATTTGGATGCCAGCAGGACCAGTGCCACGCAACCTGTGATAGATTCCTATGGATTTCAATAGGTCTTTAGGTCTTGTTGCTGGGGTAATTGTGGCCAAAGATATAACTGATAGTTCTGCCTTTTTTAGTGGGTTTGGAGTGAGAGCATGTTTGGCTTACAAAAGAAATTTCTTTTGAAGTACAAACATAAAAATCACAAGTACTTTGGTAGTGCTATCAAACAATATAATATTTTACAGATCTTGTTGCCTTCTCGGCCATGTAATGAATATGTGATGTTTTTGTAGTGCAAAAGAAAGTATAAACCCTATGTGAATTAAAGTTTCAGCTTCTGACTCAACTCTGCCCTTATTGCAATCCGTGTCACCTTTTCTCTTTAAATATTTTGTCTTTGTAATTTATGTATCTTTAAATACTGTTAGGGTTTGTAAGTACAGTGAGAAGCATTATGGAAATATGTGTTAATGTTTTATGTACAGTTTTGAAATTATGGGTGTAACACTGAGGTGTGAGAAAACTTTATTTCAAGACACAACTCCCCCCTTTATGATTCTTTTTGTTTTAAAGTTATAATGATTTTTCTGCCTTCCAAATGCTTAAGATTGAAACAAAAGCATTCCGTAGGTGTGGTATCTCTCTGTGTACATAACATCTCAAGAGCTTGTTTGTTTTCACATTTTGAGTGCTGCCCAGAATGATTAGCTCTATTCAACTAGTTCATTGCTAATTTTAGCTTGGCTTCTGGATATATTTGATACCAATACAGTGCAAGTCTTAAAGGCAATTCCATTGGAGATAACGAATAACAAAAATGCACAAAAAATTGGGCCTTGATATGAAAAAGTTGCCTGGTGTACTAGATCCTTCAGAAATCATCTAAACCTTCTGTGTAGCAGGGCCTTTAGGACACTTAGGAGGCTAGCTTTCCCATGGAGCTTGTGACTTTCAGAGCAAAACTCACATTTCACTGACTACAGTAAACCTTTCCCTGACTATAGTAAACCTTTCCTTGAAATACCAGTTCATTGCTATCTCAACCCCCGTTCTTCACTCTCTAGGATATGTTCTGGAGGAGGCTAATGTCCATCCTGCAGCTGAAATATTTTAGATTTGGAGATCCTAATCCTGTTGCAGAAGGGAACTGAGTCAAATCTAAACTGTCCTGTGCTTCCATTAATATTAATACAGTTACTGTTGTTTCCTTATGGCACCATGATCTCTGAGCCACGGCTAATTGCTGTACATGCTGTATGGCCTGGCTGTGAGAACCCAAGGGGCCAAAGGCAGTGGGTAGGTGTGGGCCTACAGGAAGGAGATTAGTGAGTTGTGGTGGGTAGCCCTGTTAGAACAGTGAATTGTGTATCTGCTCTACTCATGCTGGAGCCCAAAATCTGACCATGGGCAGGTGTGTTTACAGCTGCAGCAGTTGTATTTATGGATTAATCTTTTGAGTGTTTGGAAATATGTTGTGTGTACCTGTTTAAATTATAAACACTAAGTCAAAGAACTAAAGTTGCTGTGATGATTAGTCACTGAAGGAAAAACCCCTGACTTGTTTTTTTGTTTTTTGTTTTTTTTTTTTTTTTTCCTGTGGGTCAGAATATTAATTTTTGATCGCGCATGGGTTTGGCAACATCCGTCTAGACAGCTGCCACATTCTGTGCTAGTATTTCTGTGGTGTCTCACAGAGCTCTCAGGCACCGCACAGAGCTCTCAGGCACCTCAAATGCTGTGGTGTATCACAGAAGCAAAGTATCAAGAAGACATAAATGACCTGTCTTTAAAGCGGGCAAGTAAAATTCTGCTGTGCCCTGTGCTCCTGCTGCTATGCTGCTGCCGGTTCACACCAGCTCACACTTGCTGTGCAACTGTCAGTTTGGAGATGTGAATTTCATGCTGCAGTCATCACTGTGTCTGTAATTCCAAGAACTTCTGGGCAGCTCATTCCTCTACTCACCATTCTAACAGTCAAGCAAAACCCCCCTTTGACAGTGGTAGGCTTTAACCTGGTCCCTAAAGCTTAATCTGGCTCAGCTCCCTCTTCTAGTTCCCCTTTTGAATGGTGAAAGGTGTGCTGCAGAGACTGAAGGGAAAGGTAAAATATTTGGTTTAGAAAGAAAAGATTCATTCTCTACTGTAAGCAGGAAAATCTGTGTTGTGGGAGAGTCAATCTACATGTGGGCTGAAATCCTGCCCCTACTGAGTTCGCTTGCTGAAGGACTGTAGGACAAAAAATGTTATTTTATTAGTGATGAGTGTGTGTCTACAGAAGGTGTCGTGGCTGATAGAGACCGTCTTCTAAACTTTGAGGTTGACTGTGACTATTGAGGTTTTAAGTACTCGCTGGTTTGCTTCACTCTTCATTACACAGTTGGAAGCATTTATCATTTACAAGAAGCATATACTTACATTCTTTCATGTTGCATATTAAAAGACTTTGCATATTTATTAGCTGACGCTAGTGAGCATTATATGCTTCTCATTTGTTTGTGGTTGCCGGTATTTCCTGCTGTTAGCAGTCCAGCAGGAAGCCGAAGGAAGAGATTACAGGACTAGCGGTGTTTAGGCTTTTCCACTGGATTTTCAAAGAACATTACATTCACACAAAACTACTTTCAAAATATGGACGCTTACAGGGGGCCAATGACAGCGAGGTGAAATGACTGAAATACACCTTGTGTGTGGCTGTCAACACTATTTTTCTCTTTGTAGACTTTCAGCCACATCCCATTGCGCACTGGCTGTGTTGCATTTCAGACTTAAAAAGGAAGTGCTTCTTTTCCAACACAGTGCTAATCCCTGTTTCAAGGTTTACACAACAAACAGGGCGAGACTGCTCCTCCTTAATGGACCGTTCTTTTCCCCTGAGGAAACAAGTTTCCAAGACTTGCCCTCTTACATGAAGTTGCATTGTTTTCTTCCGTTTCCTTACAGCGTACCCATCTCCTGTTCTAACTTCTGTAATATATAGAACAAAACGTCTACATATGTGTATACTTCACACGGCCCTCCTCCCGCGAAGGGCAGTGTTGGCGTACCTGGGGACCACGGGGTACCACTGGCTCAGGTGCACGCACAGCCAGGCGCGGCTCGCCTGTGGCGGAGAAGGCAAACAGACGCGTTGAGGACTGCCCCTCGGGGCTGCCTTTTTCCTGCATCCCGACGGCGCGGAGCCCCGTAGGGAGCCGAGCTGGGGTCCGCTGGGCGGAGGAGTAGCGGTGGGGAGCAGGTGAGGGCGGAGAGGTGCCGTGCTGGGGGCGGGCGCGGGAGAATGCTGAGGCCGGCCAGCGGAGCGCAGCCTGACGCAGCGACGGCCCCGGCCTCAGCGGGCGGGAGGATGGCGGGCGGTGGCTGGGCGCCGCGGGGCTGAGGGGCGGTGCCGCCACTGTGCCGTGCCGTTCTGTGCCGTGCCGCTCTGTGCCGCGCCGCGCCGTGCCGCGGTCGGCCGGGCGCCGCTGCAGGCTGGCCCCCTGCGCCTGCCTGAGGGGCGGCGGCGGGCGGGTTGCCGGGATGATCCGGTTCCGGAGCTCCAGCATCAGGTCGCTGAGCGCGGAGATGAAATGCACCGTGCGACTGCTGGACGACTCCGAGATTTCCTGCCACATCCAGGTGCCGGCGGGGAGAGAGGGGCGGCGGCGGCGGGGCGTCTCGGCGGGCAGCGGCACCCCAGCACGGGAGCGCAGAGCCGGGCCGGGACTGGGGCAGCTACCCTCCGGCGCAGAGCAGGTCGCAGGGCCCGGGCAGCGGCTCGGCGCGGCCGCGGCGGGAGCATCCGCACGCCCCGTTTCCCTGCGCGGGTCTCCGCGCACCTGCGGCGCGGGCAGCTGCGCCTTTCTCGCCGCTTCCCGCCGCGGCGCTGCGCCACGGCATTGCATGGCACGGCACGGAGCCCGTCCGGCCGCTGCTGGAGCCGCGGGATACGCCGTGCTCCGCACCCCCGGCACGGCATCCCCGCGGGCAGGAGGAGCCCGCTGGGCTTCGGCGACCTCCGGGAGAGGCGGTCCCCGGCGAGGAGGGAGACCTCGGTGTCTCCAGCCCCGTCCCGCAGCGCGGTAACGGAGCGCGCGGTGGGCGCATCTTGCGGCGGAGCTGGTGTTTGAGGGGACCTGCTCTGCGGGGCCGGGAAAGCCCTACACCGGGAGCGAGGCCCGCGGCGTGCAGATAGAGGAAACGCTGTTACAGAGGTGGTAGGCAGAGTTGAAAATGAAGTGCTGCTCCCCTTTCCTCTTCCTTCCAGGCAAAAGATAACTTATGGAAGGGTTTTCAGTGATAGTAGTTGTGCTGTTGGAAAGAAAGTCCAACTTGCTGTAGTCCCTCTTCTTAATTACTTAGTTCATTTTTATTCCTTTAAGCAATAACGATAAGAGGGCGAAGAGTAAGGAGCGTGGATTTCTGGTGTAGCAGCAATGTTTGTAGTGTGTGAAAGCAGTATTTCAGGTGTCCTAACAAGATCCAGACTCTGATGCGTATGGAAGTCTTACAGATTCTTAAACTGCAAGTGTTAGAAACCAAGTTACGCTGTTGTAAATTTCCATGGCATTCATAAAATCACTGAGATGAACTTGACATCCAGATCAGAAGATGCGAGTAGCTTTTCAGGATGTTGTTTGTCACTCATAGTCGGTATTTCTGTCTTTCTGGTGGTATAAAATATCCACAGGTTTAAATCAAGTTGGTGGTCTTATGCAGAAACCTACTGTGGCTGAAAAAAATCAAGTGCCATGAGATGCAAGCAACATTTTTTTCTTGGACCAAAAGAAAACAGACTAGACTAGACTAGACTAGACTAAAATAATTGTAAGGGACCTACAATTGTAATCTTGTCCAGCTGCCTGACTAGTTAAGCGCTGATCAAACGTTGAAGAATATTATGAAGGGCATTGTCCAAATGCCTCTTTTTAAGGCACCTTAGATGCTTGGGGCATCAACTACCTCTCTAGAAAGCCTGTTTCAGTGTTTGACCACCCTCTTCGTAAAGAAATGCTTCCTAATGTCCCATCTGAACCTCCCCTCGGGCAGCTTTGAACCATTGCCTCACGTCCTGTCACTGGATCCCAGCGAGAAGAGATCAGGAGCTCTCTCTCCACGTCGGCTCCTTAGGAAGCTGCAGCGAGCCATGAGGTCACCACTCAGCCTTCTTCTCTCCAGCCTAGACAAACTCATAGCCCTCAGCCTCTCCTCACAGGACATGGTTTCCAGTCCTGTCACCAGTTTTGTTGTCCTCCTTTGAATGCAATCAAGGACCTTTTACATCCTTCTTAAACTGTGTGGCCCAGGACGGCACACGGTGCTCGAGGTGAGGCTGCACCATCACTAAATACAGCAGATAATCACCTCTTTTGACCGGCTGGTGGCACTTGTTTGAAGCACCCCAAGATGCAGTTTGCCCTCCTGGCTGCCAGGGCACATGGCTGACTCACACTGCGCCTTGCTGTCAGCCAGCACCCTCAGGTCCATTTCTGCAAGGCAGCTCTACAGAAACTCCTCTCCTGATCTGTACCTGTGTACTAGTTTTCACTCAAATATTATGCAGCCTGGAAGTAACAGGAGATTACTGAAACTTGCACCTGTGTCGTTGTAGTGCTCTTGTTAATGAATAGCGTGGTTAAGAGATTGTAGCATAATGGGTAGGAAGCAGAATGGTCCTCGAGTATTTTTTCTCGGAGCCCAATGCAGTTTGGCATCTTTAAAGACTAGTGTCTTTAAACAGTGATGATTTAATGTCAGAATCTGAGCTGGTGTCATTACAGTTCTGTAGATTTGTAGTGCTCAACAGATTTACCAGTGCTAAGAATACGCCCTTTGATGCCCACAGGGTAGAAAGAAGTAGTCATTACTTTAGGTGTTACATTGTGCAAGGTGAGGAAATGAACTCAGAACCAGTTGAATCTTACTGTGTCCTGGTGGCTCATCCCACATGTATACAGGGGAAAAGTGTTTTAGGCTACAGCTGAATTTTTTTTCACTATTGTAGTTCTGAGGGTAATCCTGAAAATTGAATTCTATTATAAACTCATCTAGAATTGTTTTCCTGAGTCTGTACACTGACCAGAAATGTTTAAAAGGTGTGAATGGCTCCTCGTGTGTTTTTTTGTTTTTTTTTTTGTTTGTTTTGTTGTTTTCTTTTTTCCCCTTTTAGGTACTGAAATTCTGAACATGTAAATGCAGATCCTAGGATGAGGAACTACTTTGCTCTTGGTCACTTCAGCAGAAACATGCAATTAATGATGACATTTCATAGCTTTGACTTACCTTTCACTCCTTCCTATGCCATATGCTTTGAACTGCTAAATTCTATCTCTAGCTACCCCTTACCTATCACTGTATCTATAGAGGAGATATAATTTAGCTGTATAATTGATTTATCCTCTTGTATGTGCATAGCTGTGAAGACATTAGACTAACAAATCTCAATTCACTCAACTTCTTGTCTGTAGTCTTTCAATCAGATTTCTATTTGAAGTTCACAATGTGGACAAAACTTGCTAATTTCATTTTTGAATGGAAAAAATAGAAGTTGTGAGTTGTGTATATGCATATCGCTGCATATGCAGCAGGACAAATAGCCCAGATGATGCGCTTCTGGGTTAGCAGCAGAGATGCCAGGGTTGTGCCAGCTGGAACATGTTGGACAGCTGTGTTTTGGTCATTAAGAAGATAAGAAAGCCTAATTCTACAACACTGAGAAATGCCCAACAGAGTCTTTTAAGGACATGGGATGCAGTAAAAAAACAGTGATGACTGAAATTCTAGCTATGCATTTTCAGGGGGAAAGGAGGGGAGATACGCAGCTAGTCTGGATGGTGGTACATATAGCTGATGATTTTCTGCATTTTAGCACACTAAGTTTTGCCAAACCTTACTTTTTCAAGTATATCTTTCCAGCAGCTGGCTTGTACACATAGGATGGTATCAGAGGGCCTCAGTACCACTTCAGTGCAGAGATGTCAGCTAATTAAAATCACCGTGGATGCACTGTATGTCTTTGGCCCTGCAAAATGTACAGCTAGAAGTGTGTGTTACTCAGCTAAAACACTGGTATGTAGTTTAGAAAAAGAAGGCAGGGGCAGATCTACTTAGGTGCTGCATATATGTGTGTGTGTGTTTTTTTTTGGGGGGGGGGGGTGTGTGTTTGTTTTTGTCTCCTGATGCAAATTACAGAGTGTTTAGGAAGTAAAATAAAGTATGCTTTTGTTTTTACTGTTAAAGCAGTGTTTCAGCAAGCCAACAGGCTAATAAAGCCTGCTTTTGGAAATTAAGTTTTATAGCAGGCAGTGTAGTGACAGCATATGGGGTGTTGTGGGGATTTGCATTTGCAGACTCCAGCCAACTAGTTATCGAGCTGTGCAGCCGCCATGTAGGTCACCAAGTTGCTCAAGGCTAGGTTTGCAACTCAAAGGTCATGATTCAGTGTGTCGTCCTCATCATCAGAGAGAATTCGTTATTGCAAATTAGCTGAAGTGGTGACAGACACAGGAAAGGGCTAGGGCCGAGGGATGTTTAACTAATTCTTGTGATGACATTTATTTTCCCATGTTTTTTGTTTGTTTGTGAGGCCTCTCTGGGCCTGTATGTCGGGGCAGTCTTACTGCAGCAGTAAGGTGAAGTCATAGTGGCAACACTAAAACTGAGAGGTTATGAAAAACAGCCTGGAGAGCAAGTGGCCACTGTTTGTTTCCATGTGCAAGAGAGAGTGGTGACCTGCTTGTGCAGTCTGCCTGATAAAGCACAGAACCAAGGCTTGAAAGAGGGCACTGGGGGAAGCAGGTATTCAAAACTATTGGAAATGTGTCTGGAGCAGCAGGAAGACCTCCTTTCTGGAGGTACTAATGAGGTACTTATTTTCTGAGTCATCGGCATTATGAGCACTTAACTTCTATTTTTTTCAGGCTTCATGCAGTAACTTCACACATTTAATTAACCTTTTCATAGCAATAGCCTAAACATTTGTTGTGTTTTAATCCCAGCTGGTAACTAAGCCCCACAGAGCCACTTGCACCCACTCCAGTGGGGTGGGGAAAAGAATCACAAGGGTAAAAGTGGGAAAACTCGTGGGTTGAGATGAAGACAGCTTAACAGGTAAAGCAAAAGCTGTGCACAGAAGCAGAACAAAACAAGGGATTCATTCACCACCTCCCATCAGCAGGCAGGTGTTCAGACATCTCCAGGACAGCAGGGCTCCATCTCACATAATGGTGACTTGGGAAAACAAACACCATCACTCCAATGTCCCACCTTTCTTCTTCTTCCCCTGCTTTTATTGCTGAGCATGACACTGTATGGGATAGTCCATGGGTCTGCTGGGGTCAGCTGTCCTGGCTGAGTCCCCTCCCAACTCCCTGTGCATTCCCAGCCTGCTTGCTGGTGATTTGGGATGAGGAGCAGAAAAGGCCTTGACTTTGTGTAAGCATCTGCTCAGCCGTAGCTAAACATCCCATCTGTTGATAACAGTTACCAGTACTGTTTCCAGCACAAATCCAAAACATAGCCTCATACTACATACTATGAAGAAAACAAACTCTGCTCTAGCCAAAACCAGCACAGTATCTTAAATAGTGAGGTTAGTTTTGTTTATCTATTTATTTTATTAGTTTATCCTGTAGGATTAC